AAAATTGGATGAAAAACATTCAAAGTTTTGGTTACAATAGTATTTTCTCAAACTTCCCTCACCATAGGATAAATTATGTTCACAAAATTATCCTGTTTATTTAGAGTTAAAACTCAAAATAGTTCATGCTTCAAATCTCAATATCGAACTCTATGATACTCTTGGATGTAAAATACGCTACGTTTAAATTCAGATTACAGAATATTACCTCAAGCAAAAAACTGCTAAGCAAGTAAAGTCCAAACTTTCGTATAAACAATGTACAAAGATTTTTGGAAAATGAATTTGAATTTGGTTGTAATAAACAGTATTTCTCAATGAAAAATCATTTTAAGAAAAAACAAAAATATCTTTGGAAAAAGTGGAAACCCACTACAACTTTTAAACCTAAAAAAGGTAAATTTGTTGTCAAAAAGAAGAAAAAATCTTCTAAAACATACAAATATATTTTTTGTGATAAAAAAGGTCACTATGCAAACAATTGCCCTAACAAAGGGAAAAGTGCTAAGAAAATGATAAAAAAACTTGATGAAAATTTTCTTCAAATTTCTTTTGCAGATGAATTGTCTGACGAAGAAATCTATTATGAAGTTTTTCAAAAACTGATTATAGTTCTTCTGACGATGAATCTGATTTTATTTTTATGCTGAATATTGAATCTAATCAAGATAATGTTTCAAGTTGCCTTTTTAGTAGGTACAACAATTACTGAAGGCGAAGGTATGCTTAAACTAAAAAATATTATGAGAAAAACTAATTCTATTTCTGAAAAAAAAAATCAAAGAATTACAACTCATCAAACTAGATAAGATTTACAAAACAAGTTGGTTTAAAAAATTCCAACCCTGGTATAAACACCATATAAAAAATCTATCTGGTGATACAGTTGCTAACGATTCTAAATAAGGATCAGTAGAAATTTTCTTTTTACTAAAAAGAAAATAAACCATTTTCTTTCTAAATATCCAAAGGTCAAATACATCCACATAGGTATGATTTTGATCACCATTAAACCACTATTTTTATCTATAAAAGAAATTCCAATCATAGCTGTTTTAATGGATAACCATTTTAAAAATTCTGCAATGCTGTAATTGGTGAATCCAATCCAATTTAGCAGCATGAGTAATTTTATTTAAAGTTAAACCAAACTATTTTATTTCTATTTTTGACGAAAACATTGAAAAATGTTTGTCTTCTTATCAAAATAACCAATTATGATATTGAATCTAATTTGCATGACCTTTCAATCAACTGGTTAGCAGTTTATGAATTTACAAATACTACAAATACTTCTATCAAACCGATGATTGCAATATTATTGAGATTTTTTAACCGAATAGTTTTGATTTAGAAATCAAACCAAAATTGGTTAACATTGCAGACTTATCTATCCCAAAAGGATGGTGTCTCGAAGATATCTCTACTACTTCTGAAAAACAGAAAGTACCAAGTTTAGAATTTTTCTTATCAGGAAAAAATCTTTATTTCAAAAATTCACATGTATCAACCAGTTTTAATCCTAATCTGGTTTTACCCCCTACTAATACTTTTGATCATCAACAAGATGATGATATAGAGAGTATAACTTCTAATCAATCTTTTTGTACTCCTTATCGAAGTTCTTTTTCAAGTTTACACAATACAAACAGTACAGAAACCCTCCGACGAGCAAATAGTATGTGCCATACAGGTAATACAGATAATGCTCAAATTCTTATATTTGCATGAAATAATCCATCTCAGCCTGAAACAGGTGATAACCAATCCTTTTATCATTCTGTTTATTCTGTTTTAAATTCACACACTTTTTTTTTTCTAGAAACACTAACAATGAAGAAATCAAAATGTTTCCAGAACAACTGGATAATGTAAAACAGCTACAACAGCTACAACAGCTGTTAGGTATAGTTAATTATGGCAAGTAATTTTTTAAAAATTTTTCTAAAAAAAAAGATATATTTTGCGTAAATTACGTAAAGATAATGATTTTGTTTGGACACTAACCGACTCTAATATTATCAAACAAATCAAATCAGAGCTAACCTATATTCCAAAGGTTTATCTACCTAAACAAGGTGACCTATTGATTTAGAGATAGATGCCAGTGAAGAACATTAGGGATGTGTTCTTAAAGCAAAAAATCTTCATAAAAAAGATGAATTAATTTGTGGCTACAATTTCGGTAAATTCAAATCGAATGAAATAAATTATACTATCTTTGAAAAAGAATTATTAACCATAAAAAATGGTGTACATCGATTTCACATCTATTTAGCCCCTAAGATCTTTGTTATTCGAATAGATAACCAAGCAGTAAGAAACTTCCTTCAAAATAAAAAGCTTTCTAATAGTCCCAGGCGTATTTGATGGTACAATTTTCTTTGTTAATATCATTTTCAGGTAGAGTTCATCAACAGAGACAAAAACCTCTTAACATACTATCTGAGTCGATCCAATGGATCGAGGAAAACAACCTCTCCAGGATACAGGAGAATGGAGAACAATAAAAAAAAAAACAGGTAAAAAGCCTTAATCTTCTTCTACTTCTCCAAGAGCCCCTGTTTTCTCTACAAATCCTAACCCAAGATTTAGTTTTTACAATAATCCTAACCAAGGATTATATCTTTACCAATAACCATTTTACAGACCTCATTTCATGAAGATTCAGCTAGAATTCTTTCAATTCGCTCAAGATCCAAATGAATGGATACTTATGAGTTACTCTCAAATAGTTTCTTCAGCAGAACAACTGCTTGAAAGAACAAAACTCTCTAACCCAAAGATCAAAGATTTTTATAACCCTGAACTTGAACCACAAGTTTACAGTTTGTTAAACAATGTTTGAAAATCTTATCTCTCAGAAAACAAATCCAACTTTCGAAAAGGAATGACTAAATTAGCTGAATTCTTAGTCAACCAAGCTAAAGAATTACAGAGTTTTAAAGAAATAGCTTTCTAAAGCCTTCTATCAACAAATCTGCTAAAACAACAAGATATTGATTTCTTTGCTTTGAAAGAAAATCAATACAGTATTCACGAGATAAACAATTTCTTGACTTTATGTGAATATCTTGAAAAAGAGAATTATAATTCTTCTAAGCTAAACAAGCTTAAGAGAATCTCTTTTTTTTTTTGAAAAAGTTACGGTATTCCTAACTAAGGAATTGTTCCAGTAAATTAATTCTTCTATTCTACAGTCAACAGAAAAACTGTTGATAGAAAATTTTTTTGATTATTATACTTCTACTTATATGTATAATACTGCACTTGGTGAATTTATACCAAAAATCAACTTTTGACTCGATCATGAAACCTTTGATGTAAAAAGTATTGAACTTTGTTTAGTCAGACAAATTACTGTATAAAACTTTTCTTTTCATCTTTTAAAATATTTCTCTACTTTTATAAAGCATCATTTTTACGGATGTATAAAATGGTCAAAATATTTTTATTACATCCATTTTACTATATACAGTCTTTTGGGTACCTTTCCAAGAGAAAGATTTTATCAACCATATCAAATATGAGAATTTGATAAAATATCTGGTGGATATTTTCTACAACCCCTTACCATACTTGATCCATCAACAGACCATATCGATTTTTCAGAAGATTTAAACAAAATCATCACTAAATATTCAAACCCAAACAGTTATCACTTCCAAACAGGAATTGACCTAATGGAAAAAATAAAATTCTTTCTCCATTTAGCTACAAAATTAGATTACCCTAAAATAGCCTGCTGGACAGATGGTAGATGAATTTTTATCCTTAGATTTATTAAACCACATGAAGATCTGGACATTCAAAATGAACCAGAAGCAATCTAGCTACTGAAAAAATTATCTACCATGGAAAATCTAGATCATTCCATAAAATTACTATACCAGTACCAAGAAGGATGGTAAATGTGAAACAAATCACATTCTAGATCTCCTTCATCGCCCTAGTCTTTTAATGCACTAGACGAAGAACTCTATAATATAAACAATATTATGAAAGGATAATTACTGTGCATATTCCAAACAAGGATAAGCCAACTGCCGACACAAAACAACAAGTTCACTTGGCTCTTGAGACTAGTAGACAGAAAAAACTATAGCATATAGAAAAAACATCACTGTAGCAATCACTGTAGTAGAAAGAGATAGAGACCTACCATCGAAATCACTGTAGCAGTACTATAGATAAAAATTCTACTGTACATTGTAGCGAAAACTGTACATAGTCACTATTTAAAATTTTTCTATTTAAACCTTCGCTGTAATTAGTTTTAGGCATTCTTTTGGCATTATACTCTTTTTCTTCTCTCTTATCTTTCTCTCTTTAATCCACCATCCTCTACTTGTAAATTCTTAAGTTTAGTTTGTAAAAACCTTTATACATAGATCTTTTCCGCATCCCTTTGTAAATGGTATTAGAGCTTTAAGCTTGTACAAAAGTTTGCTAAGCTTGTATTACAGATTCAGCAATAACGATTTATTTGTTATTCATCTTGTAAGATTTTATTTTCTTTTACTTGCATCTTCTTCTTAAGCTCTTTGTTTCAAAGCTCATACGTGTATATCTGAGTTGCTTGCTAGCGATTGTGGCTTAAGTTGTCTTATTTGCTAACAATTTCAGAATAGCACACCAATTTTAAGCACAAAAAACATGAAAACTTACGAAGAAAATACTTGTATCCTCTCTCTCTCTCCCTACTTCTTCTTTATTGAATTTTGAAGTTTCTATGATTTTTTATTTTATTTCTGATTATTGAATTGTGAAATGAATCCATTTTACCGGTAGCTTACTTGCAAATTCTTATTTCAGTTATTCAACTTTTTTCTTTTCCTCTCTCTAACGAAAACTGAAAAAGAGAAGAAAGTATATCACTCCCAGGTGAATATTGCCTTGCTTCCTTGACACCCTTATATATATATATATATATATATATATATATATATATATTCTCTCTTTGTTGCCTATCATTCATAGTCATAACTTAACAAAAATGACCTATCAAGCAAAAAAGCCAAAAACAAAAGCATGGTTCAACACCATTGGCCATGAAACCATGCCAAAATTTGAAGTTTTTAAAAGGTTCAGGCGTTTGAGACTCTTTGAGCCATGTTTGGGGGTTCTTGGCTTCTTCTTTGTTGCTGTTTTTGTGATTTGTTGTTTCTTTTACTTGGATTATAGAGTTGTGTCTAAAGGGTATAGAGTTCCTAGTCAGTCACATGGATTTATGTGGCTTAAACTAGATGGGTCTTCTTCAAGTGAGATTAAAAAAGTTGATTTCTTGAGCCAGGAAGGTAAAAGGTGTGATGTGTTTGGTGGTGATTGGGTGTGGGATGAAACTTATCCTCTTTATGAATCCAGAGATTGCAGCTTTCTTGATGAAGGATTTAGGTGTACTGAAAATGGAAGGCCAGATTTGTTCTACACCAAATGGAGATGGCAGCCTAAGCATTGTAACCTTCCCAGGTTTTTATTTTTCTTGATTATTTTATTTTTATTTTTTTTTTCATTCTCTTACACTTTTTGGTTGCTGAGGAATTAACGGGAAACAAAAGACAGATGAAGAAAATTTTGATTATTATTAGAGCCTGATTTACGGAAAGTTTTGAAGTTTTGAAGTTTTGGAAGCAATAGCGACAGAAGCTATGAAGATTGAGTGGTTTTGAAATGTATTATTTTTATTAATTTTGTTGGTTTAGTGCAGTCTACTTGTGGTGTTTGAGTTTCATTGACAACTAGCCATTTTTCTTTGGTTTTTTTCCGTATACGCTCTTAGGCTTAATCATAAAGCTTTAAAAATTATCTGTACAAATGAAAATGACAGCTGTTCAATGTTCTTTTTCTTTTTATGTATTTTGGTTCCTAATTAATTTCACTTCTTTTCCTGATAGATTTTCAAAGCAAGTTGGTTCACAAGTGGTTGGACTTAGTGCGAATTTGACTATGGTTTCCCGTGATTTTATTAAAATTTTGTCTTTTCTTTCCAGTCAACTTCATCATTGTTCATTTCTGTATCTGTTCCTTTCTCATAATTTTGTGGCCATGTTCTGCCGTGGGTAAGCCTCAACCGTGAACACATAAGGATTTGAAGCTTTTTTAAACAATGAAGGCAAAATTAGCTTTCTCTTTGTAGTAATTGAAATCGGCTAATTACCATTTACCGATATACTAAAGATTACTTTAATACTGTATTTCTTGAGTTATTACTAGTAACTGGTTAATTATTCAAATACTATTCATATTCTACTGCTGCTCTTTGATGGCATTCTCTTAAATTTTAAGTTTTATTTCTGACTTTTATATCCTAGAAGGCTTGTGACCCTTCTTTTATTTGTGGTTGTTGACTTATCTTTGATTCTTCTCATCATTGTAGCATTATTTGGCAATTGCCAATGGAAAATATAAGGATTTGAGAATACTTGATTGTGTTTGTTATTTGTTCATGAAGGTTTATTTATTTGTTTTACTTTCATGGATAAAACAGATTTGATGGAAAATTGATGTTAGAGAAGTTGCGAAACAAGCGATTGGTTTTTGTTGGTGATTCAATTGGAAGAAATCAATGGGAATCACTCCTCTGCATGCTTGCTTCTGCAGTTCCCAATAAAGATTCTATATATGAAGTGAATGGCAGCCCAATTACGAAGCATAAAGGTTTCTTGGTATTCAAGTTCAAGGGTTATAATTGCACCGTGGAGTATTATAGAGCTCCTTTTCTTGTCCTGCAGAGCAGGCCTCCCGCTGGGTCTTCGGAAAAGATCAAGACAACACTTAAACTGGATCAAATGGAATGGAATTCTTTTAGGTGGAAAGACGCAGATTTATTGGTCTTCAATACCGGGCATTGGTGGAATTATGAGAAGACCATTAGAGGGTAAACTATTTCTTTTGTTCTTAAGATTCCTTATCATTGTGTCTATATTGTTGATTTTAATGCCAAGTTGATGAGCTTAACTGGGTTAGCTTTGGATACTAAAAATTTCATTAAATCAAAGCATGTGCGGGTTAGTATTTGGTTTATATTGTAGTAATATTATATCTTTGGTAAAAAGAAAAAAAGAAAAAAAATCTTCCAACGCAAACATAATGAAGATCAGTTGCTTATGAAAAATGAGTTTTTTCAAGCATGTTTTGGTGTCCCAAGAAAACAGCAATTGAATGACTGAATGGCGTCCAGGAAGGAATATCAGAATCTTGATCAGCTTCTGATATGGAGGATGCCTAGCGTATCAATGACGACTAGCTGCAGTTTTTGTAGATTAGGATGATGGAGGGCCCTTATGGTTCATATTCATAATTGGAAATTTGTGGTTGTTAATTGAATGATAGGATGTGGTCCTGTGACAGCTCAACAAACTTGCTTTTGAAACAAGCTTCTTTCTGTATCTTTTATTATTATTATTATTTTTTTCACTTCAATGATATGATGAATAACTCGATGATATGAACAACATTGCTTCTGCACTTGCAATCATGATTTCAAACTGTAAATTGCCGTTGGGTAAAGAATTTAGCTGCCAATTTGATATCTAAGAAGGTTCCATCCATATTTTAAGTGTGACTAAACAGAGAAGGTAATTTGTGGCATTGAACTTTGCTTGCATGCATGGTTTGTTAAATTATATTTCACCATTTAATGACAATGAACACTACATTTTCTCATTTATGATTTGGATGGCATATAAATCCCATGAATGAATTCTGGATGGGACCTTTTGGATTTTGTTTCTTACACATGCAAGGGAGGAAGATATGAAAGAGAAGGCCAACTGTCAATAGAAATTGGGAGTCAGTCCTCGCAGTAATCATAAATGCTTAAACTAGGTGGAAGTACTATCATTATCTGTTCTTAAATTTCCATTTGTCGATCAGGGGATGTTACTTTCAAGAAGGGAAAAAAGTCAACATGGAAATGAGAGTAGAACAAGCATATAAAAGGTACATAATGAGGTGAATTCAAGCAAGACCAAGGTCTTCTTCCGCACATTTGCACCTGTACATTTCAGGTTTGTTTTAATTTTATAGCTGTTTTACTGCTAACATCCATGGCATAGTGCTCGTTTAGACCTCTGCACATCTATATTACATTCTCTGGACACCTTTTTTAGTATTTTGGTCTCCTGGAAAGAGTTGGCATAGGTAGAGAGACCTGGGAGAAAGTCCAGTGAGAAATTTTAGGTTCTACCTTTTTTAAACAAGCTTGGATGTCACTGAAAAATTTGCTGTGTTTTTCAAACTAAATCTAGAAATGTAAGTTTTCCTGTCAAAATCAGTGGATTAATTCTTATGCTGCATTCCTTATGCATTCAAGGCCTTGTTTAAACCATTAAATATTTAAGGTAAAAGTTGATCCTAAAGTTTACGACACAGTTTTTAGTTTCTTGATCAAACTATGAGACTGTTATTTGGTCTCTCTTCTAATATGCACATTCATATGTAGTTCAAAATGCCTGCATTAATGCCACTTGTTTTGTATCTAAATAAACTTGAATTACTCCTCAAGACTTGCCAAGGAAGAATAAAAAATTGTGTTTGACTTTTTTGAGTAGATTTTATAGGCAATTGTGGATTTTATGGGAGTGGCTAAACTTTCTACAACTTCTCAGAGGAGGAGATTGGACAAATGGGGGAAGCTGCCACTTGGAGACACTGCCAGAGATGGGTACATCGCTAGTGCCATCTGAAACTTGGGAACAATTCAAAATAGTCAGTGATATGTCATCAGCTTACTCGAATGCATCAGAGGGTATAAAATTTGACATACTAAATGTTACTCGTATGACGGCACAAAGGAAAGATGGCCATTCATCTCTTTACTATTTGGGTCCCAAGGAAAGTCCTGCTCCAATTCATCTGCAGGACTGCAGTCACTGGTGTCTACCAGGAGTGCCTGATGCATGGAATGAGCTACTCTACGCAGTGATCCTCAAGCATTATATGAATCATACGTTCGTTCGACTCATCAACATATGAAGCACAGGTTTGATTGAGGATGAAGCCTCTAATAATACACCTACTACGAAACATAGGAATTCCATGAACAGAAATGAATCAGACTTCGCCACAAACAAAAATGGGAGGTAGTTTAGATTGAATTTTTGCCATAGTTCTAGGGTAAGGATCAAAAGTGGCTCTATGATTTTGGCAGTGTTAGATTATGAAAAGAAAACAAGTTTCTTTTGGCTAGATAGTTGATATTGATTCAAGCAGCCCCAATTTTAAGAGCAATGAGTGGGCACGGATTCAACCTATGGGAATAAAGCTGTAGAACAATTTTACACATTGGGTATTCTGTTGTGATCACGTATTCCTTGGGAAAAAAAGATGTAATTATTATTAAAAAAAAAAAAAGATAGCTGGTAAGCATTAATGCAGGTGACTTTGTGATATTATTCCGGTGGCATGAATATGAAAGTCTGATGGCCGCATGAGCCTTTTGCCATCATTGAAGAAAAAAAATTCTGTTTCTCTTTGCAAGGTGAAAATGTGATGTTAGAGCGTTAGGTGGCATGGGATGGCAACGTAATTCTGTTTAGAAGGACTAATAGATCTTACATAGAAACAGGTACTGTCGATTTGCATTTGTTTGACAAAATTTCAGTTGTGCGTCTATGATTTTTTGATCTTGGAATGTATGAATTTTTTTTTTATCTCATAAATCTCACTCATTCGGATCCAAAATTTTCAGAGTTAAGGAACTTTGGAGTCTCAGGTGTCCCACTGGGATGACTGAACTCATAATCGGTCGACCCATTGATCCATTTTATCCTAAGATGACTTTTTTTAAGTTATCCGGTCTGGTTATTTTCATATTGTTGCTGCTAGGATTGCCGCAAGTCATGAAGATTACTACGTGCATTTTTTTTTTTGGCCAAATTACTACTTACTGCCGTCTTGATTGCCATTTTTTACCTATTTCTCCGACACTAATTTGTAATTATATCCTCTTTGAAAAAAAAGGTCAAAGATAAGCACTAAAATAGAACATGAACAATGGGGAATAGGATCCACAACAGGTCCAAGCCCATTTCTCTCTCTAAAACAATTTATATCTTCGCTTCAAGCATACAAAAAATTTACAGAAAAAATGATAATCAATTGATTCAAGTTCTTTTTTCCGCGTCGGGGTGACTGAAGAGTGAAGGCGATGGAGGGAGGCCTGAAATCCAAAAGCCATCAGAGCCAAGTGTAGAATCCAAGCTTCCTTCTCTAAAATTGATTCAAATTCTTTTTTTTTTTTTTTCTCTTTCGAGTTCCCAATTTATAAATCCAAAACCTCTCCTTCCCGAGGAACCTAAATCTTCCTAAAATATGGCGGACGCAGCTCCACCAAGCAAATCAAGAGACCTGGACAAGCTCCTTCTCCGGCCAGGAAACCTCGTTGGTCCAACCTTCGACCCGGGCGTTCAAGTATAATTCTCTCTCTCTCTGTCTCTTTGCCATTTCTTAGGAACGATTTGTTTGCAAATCTTTAAATTTTTGTTTTTGGTTTAAAGTTTTGATTTGTGAGGGTTTTGGGTATTTGCAGTTAAGGGATGATTTACAGGAATATGTGAAAGTTTTGGTGGTAGGAGCTGGAGGATTGGGATGTGAGCTACTTAAGGATTTGGCCCTCTCTGGTTTTAAAAATCTTGAGGTCATTGACATGGACCGGATTGAAGTTTCCAATCTCAACCGTCAATTCCTCTTCAGGTTTTTCTTTTAATATTTGTTACTTTCTTTTTTAGAAAAATTTTTTGGGGTTTAATTCTTGATTGAATTTGCTGCCACGGTGAATTATTTTGTTGTGATCAAATTGATTGCTGAATTAGAACCAGAAAATATTTAGCACTTATTGTTATAATTTGATGCTGGTTAAATTCTAAAGATAACAAAACAAGAAAAAATATAGTAGAAGAAGGGGGAAGAAGAAGAATAAGAGATGAATGATAGAGAGAGGGGACGTTAATTCAGTTCTCCAGAATGACAGTATCCCTTTCCTCATTCTGCTTTTGAGCTGTTAACTAGGCAGCTGCTATGCTCCTGGAATCACGGATGGCACGTTGCATTCTCTTTCCTCCTAACGGTATTGACAGCTATGCAAAATCAATGGGCCAAGATCAGCTTAGGCCTTACAAAAAAATAAAGTCCAAATTATAAAAAAAAAAGTCCAATGGTAATAAAAGGTAACCCAAATCCATATTCAATTGTTTTTGGCCTGCAACAGTGCTCCCTCCAGGATCAAATGCAGGATACTTCTTTTGCAATTCAAATAGCATCTCCCAAGTAGCATCTTCCAAGTAGCATCTTTTTAGAAAAGAATTGGTCCATTCAACCGATACTTTAGTAACGGCTCTGTTTCCCCTCTTAACCATTCTTCTAGCCAAGATCTTAGTTGGCTTCTTCACTATTGATCCATCATCATCCACAGCAGGTAAACTGGATTGCGCCATTGAGCTGCCAACATGTTTCTTTAACCGTGAAACATGAAATGTGTGGTGGATTTTGGAATTACCAGGCAATTATAGGCTATATGCAACATGACTGATCTTTTCCAAGACTCTATAGGGTCCAAAATATTTGGCAGCAAGTTTGTTACAGCTTTTGTTCTTCACTATTTGTTACTATAAGGCTGCAACTTGACATATACTAGATCTCCCACCCTGAACTCCTTATCACTCCTCTTTTGTCAGCCATGTTCGTCATCCTTGTTTGAGTTGTGGACTAGAACTTCATCATTTTTATTGCAAACTCTCTGGCTTGTAAGCTCCTATCTACTGTCTTACAATTGAATCTCCCGCTATGTATGGCAAATGTAGTGGAGGAGGTTGCCCATACACCACCTCATAAGGAGTGGAGTTGATAGCTGAATGGTGGCTGGTATTATACCACCTTCTGCAAAATACAGCCATCTTGTCCATTTCCTAGGAGTTCCACTCACCATGCATCTCAAGTACGTTTCCAAGCATCGATTTACAATCTCTATCTGTCCATCAGACTGGGGATGATAAGCAGAAGATTTGTTGAGAGAAGTCCCATGTCTCTTGAAGAGCTCTTGTTAGAATTTACTCATGAAGATTTTATCCCTATCAGAAACAATAGAGCTAGGCATATCATGTAGCTTGTAGATGTGATTCATAAACAATTGTGCAACTATCAGAGCAGTAAAAGGATGGAAAATAGCCACTAAAGTGAGCATATTTGCTCAATCTGTCTACCACCACGAATATGGTATGCTTACCATGTGACTTGGGTAATCCCTCTATGAAATCCTTAGAGATGTTGTGCCAAATCCTCTCAGGTATAGGCAGTGGTTGTAGAAGACTTGGAGAGGCTGAATTATCACACTTGCACTGCCGACACACATTGCATTCCTGAACCATTCTTCTCTTATCCTTCTTGAGTCCTTTCCAATACAGAACACTAGCAATCCTTTTCATAGTGACATATACTTCAGAGTGACCACTGGTCGGGCTATTGTGATAATATTGCAAAAGTTCTTGTCTCAGTGCTGGTACCATCCCAACTACCAGTTTACCTTTTCACCTTAGTTGACCTCTATGCCATGTGTATTTAGAATTGGGATTTGTATTGCATTGCAGCTCCTTGATCAACTGTTGCAACCTTGGATCCTGATTCCAAGAAGCTTGAATTCTTCCCAACAAATCAGTACCTATAGTAGTTATGGCCATCACCTGTGCTGATTTACTCTCGGATTTCCTGGACAAGGCATCAGCTATTGTGTTGAATGCCCCCTTCCTGTAGACAACCTCGTAATCATAAACCATCATCGTTGCAATCCAAAGCTGCTGTGCAGGAGTGGCTTCCTGTTTGGTAAGGAGGAATTTAAACTTTGATGATCTGTCTTTATGATGAAATGTCTCCTTCATAGATAGGCATTCCATTTTTTTTTTTTTTACTGCCATAAGAACAACCATCATCTCCTTCTCATATGTAGATAGAATTTGATGTCTAGGTGACAAAGCCTTGCTAAAATATGCTATAGGTCTTCCTTCTTGAGTCAATAGAGCCCCTACACCCGACCCTGAAGCATCGATCTCCACCATGAACACTTTGTTAAAATTGGGCAGAGCTAATACTAGGGTAGTAGTCATGGCAACCTGTAACTTCTTGAAAGATTCCCCCGCTTGCTTATTCCATTTGAAGGCATCTTTCTTGAGTAAATATGCAAGCAGCTAGGCTAACACCCCGTATCCATTAATTAACCTTATGTAATAACCAATGAGGCCAAGAAACCCTCTTAGCTCTTTTACATTGTGAGGCTAAGGCCATTCCAACACACGCAAAACTTTCTACTTATCCATCTCAACTCTTTTAGCAGAAATCACATGTCCAAGTTACTCTACCTCTATGGCAGCAAAAAACACATTTGCTTTTCTTAAGAAACAACTTGTTAGCTTTGAGAATCTCAAAGACCTGCCTCATGTGAGCTACATGACTACACATATGAGTAGAATAAATAAGAATATCATCAAAGAATACTAATACAAATCTCCTCAAGTATGCTTTAAAAAGAGAATTCGTTAGACTTTGAAAAGTTGAAGGTGAATTAGTAAGCCCATAGGGCATAACTAAGAATTCATAGTGCCGGTCATGTGTTCTAAAACCTGTTTTATAAATGTTTGCCTCATGCATTCTAATTTGATGATATCTTGATCTCAAATCTAGTTTTGAGAAAATATTTGCACCATTTAACTCATCCAATAACTCTTCTACTAAGGGCATAGGAAACTTATCTTTAATAGTGAGTTGGTTCAACTGTCTGTAGTCAATACATAGCCTCCAGGGTCCAGCTTTTTTCTTGACCATGACAATTGGAGAAGCAAATAAGCTGCAATTGTGCCTGATAATGCCAAAGTTTAATATCTCCTTAATCAACTTCTCAATCTCATCTTTTTATATTGCAGGATATCTATAGGGCTTAATCTTGACTGTTTGAGTCTTGTCCTTAAGAGGAATTCTGTGATTATGGGACCTATGGGGAGGTACTGAGTTGCTTTAAACAGTTTAGCATACTCCTGTATTAGCTGCTCAAAGTTGCTGTTTCCTGGGAATTGAACTGTTGTTGTGGCGATGGCATTTAATTGAACTTGGTTGCTGGCGGTGAGTAACAATGAGCATGGATGAAGTTTCTGACCAACAGACAAGGCTTGCAACAGTTTAATTTCTTGTTTCTTATTGGCCATATCCAGGATACCAGGTTGTATTCCCTAAAGTGGCCTCCAATTCCCTTGATATTGAAACTGCATGTTTAAGACAGAGAAATCCCACAATATGGTTTCCAAGGTTTTCACCATTGTACCCCCAAGACTACGTCGCACCCCTTCAGTGTCAAAACCATAAAATCAGCTATAAATGCAGACTCCAAGACTGACCATTGCAATTGTTGACTAAATCCTGCAGTTCTTACCCTTTCGCCATTAGCTACTGTTACACCAACTTATGGTTCTGTCCAATATGTAGTCCCAAAGCCTTGGCCACAGAGAGGTCAATGAAGTTGTGGGTACTTCCAGAGTCCACCAGCATAACCAGTTTATGGTTTTTATTACACCATGAGTTCTCATGGTTTGAAACCCAGAAGTGCCTGGTATAGCATGTAAAGAGAGTACAGGTTCCTCACTTCCATCATTCTCAGTTATCGGTACTTCTGGATTATCAACACAATCTGAGAATTCTTCTGTCTCATTTTCCTCTTCACTCCCTTCAATGAGTAATTGATACAATTGAGACTTCATGCATTTGTGGCCAACTGAATACTTGGCTCCACATCAATAACAAAGCCCCTTTTTCGTCCTCTCTTCCATCTCAGCTGGTGTAGGGCGTTTGGATTGTTTGAGCTACTGCTATTGAAGTTGGGTCTATTAGGTTGGTGAGTAAAAGTTTTATTATTGAGATCCAAAAGGTTGGGATTAGGGGTGCTTTTGGGGTAGGCAATAAGGATGGAAGGTTACTGTTTTTGGTAGTGTACCTGCTGGTGCTATGGAAAGACAAGTGATAAGAGGGTTTTGTAGGTAAGGTATGTTTCTTATAAATTTGGTAGATGATAGATTCAATTTGTTTGGCCAAATGAAAAGCCTAATTCAAGGTTGTAGGTCTGAAAAGTCTAATAGATTGTGATATCTTTGGTTTAAGATTACTAATGCTTAGGGCATAAGCATCAAGTAATTGTAAGAGATTAAGAATGCCTATAAAATCTTTGTGAAACTGTTCAATAGAAGAAGTTTGCTTAAGCTCCACTAGCTCTGCCATGGAGTCTTCATACTCCTTAGAGGCGAATCTGTCCTTCATCTCCTTAATGTACACCCCGCGGCCCCCCCCCCCCCCCCGTGCAGTGCTTAAATTCTGAAATCCTCCTTAGACTTAGTAGAGTACTGGTGCCACTGCAAGGCTTTCCCTTCTAGGCCCAACAGTACTACTCTAACCTTGGAGTGTTCAAGGACCCTTTCATAATCAAAATACTGTTCTAGCTTCATGTACCAACCCTTAAAGTTATCTCCATTAAACTTAGGACAGTCTAGTTTAAGCAGCTTGTAGGATTCAGAGATCAAATGCTTGTTCTGGATTGCAAAAGTCATAGTATTGTTCAGGGTTATGTCTCCAGAAGAAAGCTTGGGTTCTTCACTACTAGAATCTGATTCCTTCCCCAACCTCCGCTTTTACCGATCGAAGTTTGGTGCCCTTCCCATTGATCAGGCGCGGAATTCCCATCCTTTGGAGCTATATCGAACAAGTTTTAAAACTCATCCAACAACCGAGCTCTCATTCCTTCAATCTTCTGCTCCAAATCCACAAATCTTTGTTCCATCTGTGCATCCCTTTGTTGATGATCATTCTGTAATCTGGAAATCTCTTGTGCATTTTTGTTGTATCTTCCTGGTAGTGATTCCATCTACTGTTGGTGTCAGGTATTGGGCTTTGATACCAAATGATGCTGGTTAAATTCTAAAGATAACAGAATAAGAAAAAATATAGTAGAAAAGGGGGAAGAAGAAGAAGAATAAGAGATGAACAATTGAGGGATGGGACGTTAATTCAATTCTCCAGAATGACAGTATCCCTTTCCTCATTCTGTTTTTGAGCTAGTAACCAGGCAGCTGCTATTCCTCTGGAATCTTGGATGACACATTACATTCTCTTTCCTCCTCCTAATGGTATCGACAGCTATGCATACTAGATGGGCCAAGCTCAGCTTAGGCCTTACAGAAAAATAAAGTCCAAATTATAAAAAAAAAAAAGTCCAACGGTATTAAAAAGTAACCCAAATCATATTCAATTGTTTTGGGTCTGCAACATAATTTTAGTTCTTTTTTCTAAATATTCAATCTCGCATGGAAGTCTTAGGTCCAAATCCTATTCCTAGTACAAGATTGGGTTTCTTACTTTTGTGTAGCAAACTAGCAATAGACTGTTGAACTTTCACTTGTATTAAATAAAAAACCAAGCACGGAAAGATGCATGGATGTCTCATAAAAAGATTGGCGATGCATTTGGTTATGAATTTTTTTTTCACACTAGCTAATTTTACCATCATTATATTTGCTTTACTATCTCTTTCATTTGATTATTGTCACTGCAGCTTGAATATCTACTATGCATCTTTTGTTTAATTTATATTTGAGACTGGAAAGTTTAAAGCTGATGTAATTTGGGGTGTTAATACTTGTAGGCTGGAAGATGTTGGTAAACCAAAGGCTGAGGTTGCAGCAAAGCGTGTGATGGAAAGAGTTAGTGGTGTGAATATTGTGCCTCATTTTTGCCGAATTGAGGACAAAGACATTGAATTTTATAGTGACTTCAATATTATTGCCCTTGGTCTTGATTCCATTGAGGCTCGGAGCTACATTAATGCTGTGGCTTGTAGTTTCCTTGGTGTGTTTTTTAACCTATTAATAGTTGATTGCATCTATTTGAAAATTGCTTTAAATATCTATTATATTAGTTCTAGGACATTTTAAAATTCAAAATTTTTATTTGGAAATTCTTGGAATTTATCTTAATGTGAGGGCTAGCAAATATACTCTAATGCTCTAGCCTCTAGGTTCATCATCATGACAAAATGATAATAGATTAGACACAGCCTTATGGCATATGCTTCGTATGCTTGTATGAGCTATGAAAAGCACGAGAGCTCAGAGCTGTTGCATGTTTCTCTACATGTTTGAGTCGCTTGGGACATGTTTAATCCCTTAATACCTGGCATTGAAGGAGTTAGTTTCATAATTTGAAGTTCAACAGATAATTAGAAGCAGGAGTCTGGTAATGATACCATTTTACTTGCTTTTCTTTCTTGTAGCATGAATTCTGAGTTAGGTATTTGATCTTTTATCATCTGCGTTTATTCTCCTTTAATGTACCGAACATTTTTTTGTAAAGTGACTTGCTAGATTAAATTAGGCTAATATTGTAACTAACTTTTTTCCTGTTTTTGAAGAGTATGATTTTGACGATAATCCACGAGAAGAAACAATGAAGCCTATGGTAGATGGTGGGACTGAAGGTTTCAAGGGCCATGCTAGGGTGATTGTGCCAGGGGTCACACCATGCTTTGAGTGTACAATCTGGCTTTTTCCTCCTCAAGTGAAGTTTCCTTTATGTACTTTAGCAGAAACCCCCAGAAATGCAGCTCATTGTATTGAATATGCTCACTTAATTAAATGGGATGAGGTAATATTATAATTAATGTCTTATTTGTCATTTTCTGAATCTGTTGATTCTGAATTTTCATGACAGTTTTCTTCTCCCTACCTTATAGGTTCACAGGGGGAAGGCTTTTGATCCAGATAACGGAGATCACATGAAGTGGGTCTATGATGAGGTTAAACATATGAATCTTTTTAGCATTGATTGCCTTTAAGCTGGTTTTGCTTTTTGTGATTCTTTCACTAATGACATCCAAATATCACAGGCTGTCAAGAGAGCTGAACTTTTCGGCATTCCAGGAGTTACTTATTCTCTTACACAGGTATTCTGGGAAGCTAAAGTTTGTGATTTATATTCTCTTGATCACTGTATTGCTACTTCTGGTGTTCTTTATGATTCCTGAAGAAAATAGCTTATATTTTAAGTTGTCCAATGTATCAATTTGGTTTTTTAACAATTTACTTTTTCTTAACTATTCAAGATTTCATACGTGTCCAATGTATCAATAAGCAAAATAGCATTATGATGCTAGATTTAAAGAACTAATTTTCATTTGTGAAAGTATAAATGGTCACATTTTTTAGTGTCTTCTCCTCTTTGATTATAGATAAAATAATATAATATCTCAATGTTACTTACAGGGTGTTGTAAAAAACATTATACCAGCTATTGCTTCCACCAATGCAATTGTTTCTGCTGCATGTGCTTTGGAAACCTTGAAGATTGCATCAGGATGCAGTAAAACTCTATCAAACTATCTTACGTATGTCCAACCCTCTCTCTACCTCTCCTTGGGGCATTCTATTATTGAAACTTACAATGATTTTGGTGGCTATATTTGAATGGCTTTGACATTTATTCTTGTTTGAGTATGGTACTTTCACTACTGATTTTCCATTTATTATATGTACGTAGATTATAACCACTATGATAGTAGCAATTATCTCTGAATCTCGGCAAAAGATAGCAAGAGGGAGGGAGAATAGGCTCTCTGAAACCATGCAAAATAGTTGATTCTCCTATTGTGATGACTTGATTGTCAACAGGATATCGTAGAAATGAATACATTCAGCAAACTTGATATACATGTACATGGATGAATAATTTCTTGTTTTAATCTCCTCTCTGCCTTTAGAACAGTGATATTTATTTATTTGTTTATTATATTTTAAATTTTCATGTTGGTTATCTATTATACTTCAAAATCCATTGTCAAACTTGCATACTTCTTTTATAGGTATAATGGTGTTGAAGGTCTTCACTCCAAAGTGACTCAATTTGTCAAGGACAAGGACTGTCTTGTCTGTGGTCCAGGTGTTCTCATTGAGCTGGATACTACTGTTACTCTTCAAAAGGTTAACTTTCTGAATCTTATGGAGCTGAGTTTGTAGGTTGGCTTGGGTCATTATTAGTACGTTGTTTTATTTATGCTTTTCCCTTTATTGGATTTATATTGAAGCAGTTCATCAATATGCTAGAGGAGCATCCTAAGCTGCTCATATCGAAGGCCTCAATCACATATCACGGAAAGAATCTATACATGCAGGCACCTCCTGTTCTGGAAGAAATGACCAGATCAAATCTAAATCTGCCGCTATATGACCTCATGGATAAAATCCCAAAAGACATTCTCCATGCGACTGGTACAATCAACAAGGACAACAAAAAGTCTTCTGGTTTAAAAAAATTACGTGTTGTTTTCAAGGGAATTGATGGGGTTACAGATATGGATTTGGCTGGTGGTGCATGATCGTAAAAATATAAATTATATTTATTCTTGTAAAAAATTTCAAGCCCTTTTTGCAGTATTTGTTGAAGAAAATGTGTTTTAGGTCCAAGTTATTGATACATTATGAACTTCCACGATGCCAATTGTTTTCTATGGTATATTGCCAGTCATCATCTTATTTGCCTCTTTTTTTTTTTTTCTTTTTTTTTTTTAAAATTAAACACAATGAGTAATTTGCTATGGTTGGAAATGAGAAATTTAATTCGCAGTAGATTTTAAGGTTTTGCTTTGCACCGTGGATAGGAAAATAGTAAGTTAGAAAAATAAAAAAAATTAAAAATTGAAAAAGGGGAAATATAGAAAGATATGTTAATAGTTGTTAGTTAAATATTAGACTTACGGTAGAATGCTAGGTTTTAGATTTTTAATTCTATTTCATGGTTTTAAATTCTGGAAGTCTTTAGTATAGAAAAAATAATGAATAGAAATGTTGAAAAGAATTAATTTTTTTTATTTATGATTTTATAAAATAAAAAAATGAAAAAATTATTTTATTTTATTATTATATCTTTTGTTTATTAATATTAAAAAAAATTTAAAACTTGATGGATAATGTTGCAAGTATAAAGCATCTAGATTTTTTTTTTTTTTTTTTAATTTTAGACACTTAAGTTTGTTTAGGTATGTTTTGGTCAAATATGATGCATTGAAAGTTAAGACTCGGGTCTTTTTCAAGATTTTTTATTTCATGACTTTTGAATAAATCGATTCTTAGGTTAATACAAAAGAAAAACAATAATTAAGAAAAAAGTCAAAAGTCAATTTAAAAGATAATTTAGTCAAACTAGACAAATTTAGTCAAATTTAGGTCAATTATTGGATTTTTTGATTGATAAAAACTGTTGAGGCTCATTAGTAATAAATGAGGAATTTTATTTACATTCCTATGTTTATTTTATACACCCCACTATTAAATATAATCTATATTCAAACTAAAATTTCTTATTTTTACTAAATATATCTCATAACTCACATTTTTATTTTCCCTTCTTACTTTTTCAATTTCATTCTCTATTATTTTTTTCTCTTCAAAACCCTAAATCAATCAAACTAATCCCAAATCAACTTTGTTCTTGAGTTTTTTTACTTATTAAAGGCAACATTTCTAGCTTTCTTTTAGATTAATTTGGTTGAAATGTGGTTGAAATTCATGTAGAAATAAAGGTTTAGGGTTTATGGTAGAATGAGGTTGAATTCGAGCTTCTTGGAAATGTGTTTTTGAAAAAACTTGAGGTTTCTCAAAAATCAATTGCTAAGAAACCTATTGTTTTCTTGGAAATTGATTTTCGAGAGACCTTAAGTTATCTCGGAAATGGGTGTTTGAGAAGAATGATGCTTTTCTCAAAAATTCATTTCCCAAAGGGTTGTAGTATTCTTGGATACCCATTCTGAGAAGGTAGGTTCTAATATTCTCAGAAACCTATTTTTGAAAAGATTTTAGGCCTTACAGCATTGGATTTTCAAGCAGTTGAGGCTTCTCATAAACCAATTCTTGATAAGACTTTAGGTTTCTCAGTAGTTGATTTTTGAGAAGCTTAAAGATCTATTTTTTATTCTATAAATTTGATTCAATTTTGCCATGAATTAATATATTTTGCAAATTTGTCTTTGAGTTGACATTTTTAATGATTTATGTTTTGTTACAGATATGGCTAGTACTAGAGAAAGAGGTACTGGAGTTGATGTCGGTCCTAGTCAGAGGCATTCGAGTGCCTTTGAGAGGTGATGGAGAATTGTAGGGGATGGTGAGCCTGAGAATCATATGTTTAATGAGATTCCTTAGGCTGAGCCTTCAACTTGCACCATTGATGAGCATCAAGTGGAGTCATTCCCAGAGGGTTCTCATGATACCTCAATTATCTTGAGTTTCGCTTCTTATGTTGCATTCCAAATTTAGAATGGCCAAGTAACCACTCAAATTATATTATTGTTGATGATTTGTATATGATATTAAAATTAGGAATGTTGTATTAAAATTTTATTGTTGTTGTTGTTGTTGTTGTTGTTATTGTTACAGGAGCGAGGTTTGTTGAAGTCGATTAACCATAGGTCGAAGTTATAGCAATGGCATCTAGATGATGTACAGAGAAAGATCTGAGCCCATATGGTGTAGTCAGGGTTGTCTTCACTCATTGACTGCACTTATCATAGCATCAACGCAACATTAGTATCCACTTTTGTCAATAGGTGGTAGCTGGAGACAAACACATTTTATATGCTGTTTGGTGAGATGACTATCATGCTGGATGATGTGTTCATCTTTTTCCACATATTGATAAGGATGACCTCGGTTAGAATGCTTCATTTGTTGACGATGCACGAGGCAAACATATTATTGTCGAGGTTTTCGGAGTTTCTTATGATGATGCTAGATGGGAGACTAAATCAAGTAAAAGATCTACTATTTGACTATCTTGGCTGTGTGAGACCTTTAGGCATGTCACTGATGCATCGGATGATGAGGCAATTGCATGTGCATCCCATGCTTTTTTATTTGGTAGGGAATATGTTATTTTGTGATGAGATCGCCATAAGAGTCTCATTAACGTACTTACCCTTACTCGAGGACCTCGTTGCTAGGGATGGCATCGGGGTGGGGCGGGTTGTTTTATTTTCCCCGCCTTCGACCCGATGCTTTAATGCTTTTATCCGATACCCGACCTACCCCCGCTCGGAGGTTGTAGCTGAAAAACCCGACTCCGACCCGCTTGAATATTATTTACCCGAATTTTACCCGACCCGACCCGACCCTAATTTAATCTACTACCTATTCAAATTTATTGCAAATGTAATAAATCATAATCTAAATATATTACAAACATGAACAAATTTAACATAATCACTCACAAATTCAAATTTAGTACATACATTTTTTTTTATTTAATAAAAATCTCATAAATTCTTACCATAAGTAATAGAATTATAAAATACATAAAACATAGTAAATCAAAACTCACAAATTCTCACAATAGATGATGGAATTATGAAATATATAAAACTTAGTAAACTAAAATTCAAATATGAAACAAGCATAAGTTAATAACTAAAATTTAAATATAGTACATAATACAAGATAAACATTAAAAGCTTAAACTACCACAATAAAAAGTTAAATTGTTTGAACATTCTTTCATCCAATATGGTGAAAATCTTCCAAGACCACAACAAATCATTTCATCATCACTAAGCTTCATATCATCATTCTCCTCTAACCACACTAGTCCTATAAAATAAAACAATAAGATGAATAAATAAATATTATAAAATAATATATTTAAAAATAATAATATAAAAAATGAATTAGTTATAAAAGATAATATTATTTACCAAATTAGTTATCTTTTCCTCAATCTCACTATCATCAACATCCTTGTAAAAAGAATTTTCATCTAATGAAATTGACCCTACAAATGAAATAATAAAATATTAGCAAATAATATATAACAACAAAATATAGTAACTAACAATATGCTAAAATAAAAAATAAAATTACATAATATGAATTATTGTACCTTCTTCTTTAGCCTATAACCAATTTTGACAAAATGTTAAAGCTTTTATAGTTGATGGATGAAGTCTATTACGTTGTGCACTCACCAACCTCCCTCCAATACTAAAAGTAGACTCTGAAGCAACAGTAGAAACTGGTATGGCATATATATCTCTAACAATAAGTTGTAAGGTCGAAAATTGAGGTCCAGTTAGTTTCCACCAATTCAATATATCAAAATCTCTTTTTCTTGGTATGACTTCTTCATCCAAGTAACGATCAAACTCTGATTTTACTTTTGAATTTTTCTTTTTTTTCTTTGAAACAAAATCATCTTAGTCTCCCAAATTTTCCAATTTAGTAACACCAACACCATCTAAGAATGAAAAGCTTGAACTAGAAGGTCCTTCTTCCTTTTTCAAAGCCAATTTCTCCTCATACTCCTTAAGCAAATCCTTTCAATTTCAAATTCAACATTTTCTCCATAAATCTTTTCAAAGTAATACTCCAACAACTCTGTTTTATACCTTGGATCTAAAATTGTAGCAACACCCATTATGCCATGCACATCATTCTAATATTTTTCAAATTTGCCTAACATGCTCACAGCCATACATGAAATAATTCTATCGGTATGCATAATCCATTCATTCAATGCCAATCTGATTTTGCAAATATTAGGAAAATAAAAAATTGCAGTAGCATATTTTGTGCCAGAAAACCCTTTAGTGATATCATAAAACAATTTCAACTTCTCACAAATCTCGGTTGCAATGATCCAATCATTTTCAGTTGGTAAATATTTGTACAAAGGATCACCATGTAATTGCACACAATGAGGAAAAACATCTTTATAAAACAAAGTTGTTCGAAACATCAAATAAGTAGAGTTTCATCGTGTTTTGACATCAACACACAACTTTTTTAAAGTTGGAATACGCAATTGACGCGCTGCCTCTTCAAAATTTTCGCACCTCTTTGGTGTAGCACCCCAAAAAGAACACTATCATGAATTCTTTCAATTCCATCTCCAATCACACTCAATCCATCTTTCACAATCAAATACAAGATGTGTGCGCAACAACGCATATGAAAAAAAGCCTCATTAAGCAAAAATGCATCACAACCAATTCTATCAATTAACAACTCAGTAACACCATCATTCACACTACAATTATCCACTGCAATAGATGAAAATTTTCTATCAATATTTCAATCTAGGAAACATTTCATCAAACTTGAAGTAATGACCTCTTTTGTATGTAGAGTTGGCACATATTCAAACCTAATTAAACAATCAATTATTTACATTAATTTAATAATTAATTCAATAATAATAATTACTTAATAAAAAATAAACATTATCAAAATAAGACAATTTAATAAAATATACTTGATGATGCATTTTTGTAAGTTCCATTGATTATTGATGTAATGAGCAGTGACAGCCATGTATCCTCTTTTTTGGTGATCAACAGTCCACATATCAGTTGTGATAGTAATTCTCCCTTCATTAGCTTCCAACTTGGATATTACTTTTGCCTTTTCCTCTTTGAAAATATTCAAAATATCACTCTTTATAGTATTTCGAGAAGGCATAGCAAACAAAGGTTAGAGACTGTAAGAATACTTTCTGAATTGCACATGATCAACCATTGATAAAGGATATTTATGCATGATTATCATGTCGGCAAGCTCCCTCCTTGTGACATTTTGATCAAAGGAAAAGTTTTTTAGTGTTACTTTTCCATCTGCCTTCCTTTGATTTGCTACCAGCACTTGTTGATGAATATCCATTTGAAATCGCTTGCTACACCTCTCTGAATGTTCACGTAAATGACTTGTCCCATTCTTTGAAGCACCACCAAGTTTTTTCTTACAATAATTGCATATTGCCTTCCATTCATTATTGATCTTCT